TCATATTGTTGAAAAAATAAGACATTATTTAAATTTAAAGGTTTTTATCTCATAACTTGTTAGAAAATATCCCAAAGTACCCATTTTATTATAACACTTACCTCTTGTTCAAATTGTTTATATCTGGTAGGCGTAATTATTACATGGTTACTTTTTGGAAAACAAGAAGCTTCGAATTTCTTCAGTTTTTGAACACGTCTCAAAATTTGTAAACAAAATGTAACGTTTTTATTCCGTTGCCACTTTATGCTGCATATATTGAAATATATAAAAAAAATATAGAAGCATGAAAAATCAAGAAAATCTTGTTTTCTTATTTTGGCCAGGTTTTTGTTCCAGTTACTCCTCTGTGCGCCATTTCATTTTTATATATATAGATGTAGATAGTCAACTTTGTGCGGCGGAGGCGAATTTATTCGACCGGAGCGTCCTACGGAGTCCAAAGTAGGCACGGTTCCCTGCCATAATGCGTCTTAGAATTTATCTGCTGGTATCATTTTCGGCGGTCACCAGTGAGCCCAAATACACGAACTCGTCGACCACCTCGATTTCGTCACCGTTAATCTAAACTCGGGATGGGAGGCTAACATTGTCTTTCCTAGAACCTCTTTTTCTCATGTATTTCGGCTTTGATGCGTTGATCGCAAGTCCAATACGCCTAGCTTCAGCCTTCAGTCGCTTTGTTAGCCGGCACCGGTGGTGTAGTGGTAAGCGTGACTGCTTTCTCACTCCACTGGGTCTATGTTCAATCCCAGCCGAGGTCGGTGGGATTTTTCTGAGGCATAAAAATCTCTGGTCACGTCTTCCTTCGGAAGGGAAGCAAAGCCGTAGGTCCCGGTCCATGTGTGTGGAATGGGTGCGATATCCTACGCAGGTGTGGAAGCTGCTTTCCTGCACATTCGATTGCCGTCAATGGATGGCACTAGATTGCGGAACAGAGACTGACGTTAAATAAAGGAAAGAAGACCAGTTGCTTTGTTGTTCTTCAACCGACCGATCTCCTCCTCAACTTCTTGAAGATCAGGGGCCGGTAGCCTGTTGTCTTCGTTTTCTGCTGCATCACCGTTGAGGTGCTCGTCATAGACTGCTTCTACCTCTCAATCACCTCACACTCGTTCGTGAGAAGTCCTTGCACATATCGGCTTGCGGCACGTAGCCTTTGCGCGAATTTATTAGTTTCTCGTAGAATTTCCGTATGTCGTTTACGCGGTACAGATGTTCCATCGCCTCGCGATCTCGGTCTTCCTGCTGACGCTTCTTCCTTCGAAAAACCGAATTGTCTGTTCCGCGCTTGTCTGTATCGCTCCACATCCAATATCGTGCGATGTTGCAGTATTCTCACCCGTACTGCATTCTTCTCCTCTACTAACAGTTTGCATTCGCCTTGAAACCAGTCATTTCTTCAGTCCGGGATCACAGTACCTATTGCCGCTACCGAGGGGGGCGACACATCTAAATCTCAATTCTAGATGCTCAACAAATCTCACACTAGCGAATCAAACTTCGAAAAATCTTCTTTGATTTCTCGTATCTACTTGCATCGCGCATCATCTTTTTGCAGGAAATCTTCAAAATCGTCATCAATCTTCTTCATATCTACTCAGCGTGCGCTCAGCAAAACACAATTTTTCCTGCATCGTAGACAGTCGCTGCCCTCGGCCTCTACAGCAGTACTACCTATGGCGGAATGGATGTCCCTCCAGACATCTTCAAGAGTAGCTGCGCCAAGTTGCTGTTCCGTGGGTAGTGCAACTTCCAGCTGCTGCGCGTAATCCTGGGCAAATCCGGCGTCCCGTAATTGCTCAATGTTGGGTCGCGGCGTTCGACTTCGACGGGTGTTATGCACCGTCGAGAGTTTTGAGCGCTGCATACTGCAATTAAGTATTGATCCGAAGCTATGTTCGCACTGCGGTACGTGCGGACGTTAAGGCCCAAGCGCAATGACAGCGGAAGCGGAACGGCAACGGCAGCGGAAAAACCCAATCTGAGTAAGCTAACTTGTCGGATTGAAAACTTGTTGGAACCAAATCGACTTCCGTTAGGCATCTTGATGTCATTTGTGACAATTGTCAAACTTTCCGTTTCCGTTCCGCTTCCGTTCTTATTGCGTTTGGGCCTTTAATGTCGGAGAAGAATTTCCGGTCGATTAGAACGTGATTTTGTTTTCTGTGTGTTGGTCAGGTAGCTTTGTGGATATCCTTTCGGCGGAAAAGGTACTTCGGACTACCATACCACAGGAATCTGCAAAGTTCACGCATCGTTGACAGTTGTCGTTCGATACAACATGCAGGCTGTTTGGTACATTACCTTCCGCCCTACCTGAGCGTTCATGTCGTCGATGACGATTTTGACGTCCCGTTGCAAACTGCTGTCGTACACCTGCTCCAGCTGCGCATAGAACGCTTCTTTCTCGTCGTTGGGTCTCCCTTCGTGTGGGCAGTGCACGTTGATGTAGTTGAAGAAACTTGCACATCCTCGCGTTGATCGGCTGCCAACCAATCACGCGTTGGTGCATCTTACCCTAAGAGAAGAGGTGACAATACGGGGGCAAAAATGAACCACTTTTCTGTCAAACGTGAGCAAGCTCCTGATTGGCCGATTTCATGTGCGTAAGATAGAGATAGAAATAGATAAAGATAGAGATAGAGATAGAAATAAAAGAGGAAGAAGCCAATTGTCACCTCTTCCTCTTAGATCTTACCCAGCACTACAAAACCGGTTCCCAGCACGTTGGTGGTGCGTTTATTGGCTACTGTTATTCAGCGCGACTGACATATTGAATAATGGTTGTGAAAAAGTTGAACAAATGCTTGTAGCTGTATCTGCCTGCAGCTTTTTTTCAGCACGACAACGACGCGACGCTGGAAAAGTTGGCTTATAAAACGGAAAATATTAGTTGGGACTTTGGTGCAATACGATCATTGAAAAAAAAAAAACACATGGGTTGAGGAGATCAATAGAAATTATTTTCATAAAGAGGGCTGGCAAAATTGGGTAATTACTGTACCATATTTAGTAGTTTGTTTACACGGAAACCACAAAATATGCTAAAATGACTATAAAGGACTGAACTTAGACTGCAAAGCAGGCTTGTCAAAAGCTCCATCAAGAGCCATCAATAAGCAGAGCTTCAGCATATTTTGATGATGGTGTATTTTGCTCTTACGAAGCTATACTTTATGCTCAAGCTGGGCTCTTGTCAACCCACATCGCTGAGAGGGATGCAGAGCTCGTTCTTGGGTGTACATCGACTCTGCCTACCGAGCAGAAATTTTAACTTCGTGATGCGCTCGCGCCAAGCAGTAAACTTGGAGCTTCATGATGTATTCGTAGAGAGCTTGGCTCTTGATGGCTTCTCCCAGTGCACATGAATGAGTGCAAAGGAATGCACAACCAAGAAATGAGAAAAAATGTATGGAATGTATTGACCTTTGTGACGTTTATAACACGCACACTTGAGTAATTTAATTTCCAAGGGCAAAGTTTGTTATCCTCACTTTTGCTTCAGCCAAAAAAAAAAAATGATTTGTTATTGTTATCCACACTTTCGGACCATCAATACTCGTGCGCATAGAATGGACTATGCATATATTCCGTAACTTCAAAGTGGCAATTGTATTCGTAGCGTAACTGTCTACATTCTCGGCAAATGTCCCTACTTTAGGCAAAGCAGAATAGCTCCCATGTTTGAAAACTGAACCACGATTTCGGCACGTCTTGTATAGCGGATCATCTCTTGTGTCGAAAACTAAAATCGCAGTTGAGATTCAAGAGATATTAGACTATAATGCCGGGAATACATAAATAGAGTCGGAGATAGAAACTTCTACGCTATCTATCATGGATGAGTTGCACATTGCAAATTTAATGTTCATCTTCTTCTTCTTCGCTTTTCAAGCTTATTGCATATCGCATATTAGCTTTTTACGTGCTCTCAACTTAGTGTTCTAGATGCACTTCCACAGTTATTAATTGAGAGCTTTCGATGCCTGTACCATTTTTGCATTGGTATAATTGTGTGGCAAGTATAATCATACTTCTATGCCCAGGGAAGTCGAGAAATTTTCCAACCCGAAAAATTCCTAGACCGGACCGGGAATCGAACCCAGCCACCTCCAGCATGGTCTTGCTTTGTAGCTGCGCCTTTACCGACTGAGCTAAGAGGGTTCGAATCCCACCGATTCCATCCCGAAGTTTAAAATGTTGTTTGGTGAGCAGAGCCGATGTAAATCACGCCTCACTCAAGAACGAACCCCGCATCACTCATCGTGATGCGTGTTTGTGCAAGTCCAGCTGGAGCATCAATCTTAGCTCAAACTCTTTTGCGCTCTTTGGATTTGACATCATTGCTCTTTATATATGAGCGATGAACTAGTTCACGATGAATGAGCATCTATACGGTATAATCTGAGTTCGAGGAGTTTAGACAAGCTTGCCTCAAAGTACGCATATTTAAGGGAAACAAATGTGTATATTTTTTACTTCTTTTACGAATATCTGTGATCACCATGATAATCCTTTCCAACAACCTTTTGAAAATATCTTTTCATCAGGCAGCCACCTTTTTTTATCTGTCTTCTCACATGATTCACGCATGATGATAGTTGGTGCTATTTTACTCATCAAAAACCCACCGACTGTTGCATAAAACCTTCGCATATAATTCTACTCCATGCGCCAATCAGCAACATCTAACTTCTCATGCAGTTGTGCTATCGCCTTGTAGATTAGGTCCCACAGTTAGTTGAGGCCACGATTTGATTTCATTTATTTGCTAGAATATTTGTTGATTAACTCTCACCCGTTTTTATTCTGACTATTTACTGAAAAATAAATTATCGCTCGAAGAATGAATTATTATGAGACAGTCAACGTAAATTTTCATAGTTTTTCGGCTTACCACAGCAATTAAAATCCTCAAATCATTAATTTCTCGCAAATCCCACTCTGCATTGTTTCTCAGTTGAAACTATAACACTACTCCTCTACTCCTTCCACAGAACACTCGGAGGAGGTCATCTACGACCACATGTCCACCTTTGGCAACGTTAGCTTCGTGCTGAAAACCAGTACCGTCACTTATATTGTGTTTGAAGAGCTATCAGCAGTCGAATCCAGTTGCCGGTGTGATTATCTGGAGCAGTACCCCGTCACGATTCGGTCGGTGTTGGATTGTCCTGCCGCAGGAGCTAGTGGACCGAATTCATCAATCGAAACCTGTATATTGGAGCAAATCGATCAGAATAGTAGCCTGTTGGCTGACGAAGAAGAAGGTCAGATCAACAATTTTATGCAGCTGCTGGACATGGATAACTTGGATGAGTATTTAGAGCAGGATGAGAAGGAGAAGAGCTCAGCTTCAGATAAACCTCTATTGGAGGTTGGAAATGAGGAGATCATCGTAACCGAAGATGAAGCTGCTCAATCCGAAGGAGAGAAGGAAGCTGACGTGGCTGAGATTGAGAAACAAGCATTGCAGCTGGATCAGTTGCAGCAAAAGAAAACAGCAGGAACTGTTTTGGTGGATAATCGGGCGAAGGAAATACTCAAGCTGAATGATAATTTGTTACGCTTGACTGATTTACCGCAGCTGATGGTGGCAGTACAGAGGGTTCCTAACAAGGTAAAAATAAGACCCAAAAAAGGTTCACTGCCATCCAAACATGGGGCGCTAAAGAAAAAGAAGATTGCGGTGACGGACAGCTCTGTGAGTAAGAAAGTTTCGGAAGCATCGTCTGACCACGTAAAGAAACAGCAGGAACCAGATAATTGTAAAGCAAGGAAAACGGAACCAAGTGTAGAAAAGAAAAAGACGAACAAAGAAACATGTGGCGGTAAAGAAGTAGCAAAAAGTGGTGTAAAGTCGGACAAGGAGAAATCGAAGAAGAAACATACCAAGAAGCAAAATCCAGTGCCGATTACAGAACAAACACAAATGAAAGCTGCAGAATCTACTATCAGCGAAAATAAAATTGAAACAAAAAGGGAAGCATGTGAAACAAAGTCAAGTGATAAGAAGAAAGATGGCGAAAATGAAGCAAACGCAAATATTGCAGAACATAAGCATAATCAGGGCAAAACGCAAAAGGAAAGAAAAATATCGCAGGAAAATGAAAAAGTTAAAGCAAATGATAGTAAAACAGAAATATCCGAAAGTACTACCGAAAATACTATAGCTAACAAAGAAGAGAAGGAGACCAACATTCAACAGAAATCTGAACTTCTGCAAAGCAAAAAGTCAGTTTTCGTACAGCTAACGAAGCTAACTTTGAAACAGATTCAGGAATTATCTCAAATCCGGAGGAAAACAGTAACTAGTCATAGTGTCGTCGATAGCGATATTCCCAATAAAGTGAAGGAATATGGCGAGAAGAGTGTCGTTAATAAAAGGAAACCGGGACCTGCCAAAGGAGCAATGAAGGAAAAGCAAGTATCAATGGAAAAACAGGCTGTGAAGGAAAAAACGAACCAGGCAGAAAAACGTCGCTTATCGGATGGTGAAATGGAACCATCAGCCTCCTTGGTCGCGAAGGATGATTCTAAACCAACAGCAGCAACACCAACGGAGAAGCCCACTGAGACGGAGTCTACTCATAAGAAGAAAAAACCGAAGCTTGAAAAAGCCTCAGAAAAAGTTAAATTGGTGCATCCGGAAGCAGAAAAACCTGCGCAGAAAGAGCAGACTATATCCTCTACAGACGAAAAATCAACGCCTTCCGAGGGATCGAAAGCTCAGAATGATTCCGAACAAAAAACGAGTGAAATCCAGCAATCTAAGGTCGAAGAACCGAATGCTAAACCGCAAAAAGCTATTGATGAACCTGCTGTTCTACCGGAAGCCACTTCCGAGGTAGCTCAACTTGAGTTACTGGACAAAATTAGTTACTCTGTTCCTGACGTATCCAATACCGTGGAAATTGGTCAAATCGAATCTGCTGCTGATTTGGAGTCAAGCGAAGACCGACCTTTAGTAATGGACATTTCATTCGATATGACGGATGAAATCATTGACAAGCAGTCGCTGGAGGAGGGAAATCTCGATCGGAAAGTAGTTTTACTGGACTCGAAAAGCGCGGCTCTGCTGAAAGGAAAAACTCACGATGATCATCTTCTATTCCTCGATGTGTTGCCCCGTATAGTTGTAAAAGTCAGACGCGTTACTGCGTCGGACTACAACATAACAAGGTCCAAAGAACGCCCTAAATCATCAAGCGGACATCACGAAAAGCCTCCACCGAAAAAGGTTTCCTTCGACCCATCAGCGATCAAAAGAAAAGAAGACAAACAGGAAAAGCCACGTAAAACCAACCTGGACAGAATTGACAGCAAATTCCTTCCAGCTGGTTCTAAGTTGAAGTCGAAAATAAAGTCCAAAACGGAAATAAACCACAAAAAGCATCTTCCGGTACCGGAACTACCGATTGAGTTAAAGACGCACCTGAACACGAGCTTCAAAATTCCGAAGAAGAACTCCAACGTGAAAACTCAATCTATCGATCGAAACGCGAGCGAGTTGAATTGTCTTCACAAGGAACAAGATGAGCGAGACAAACAACGGAAACGTTTCCAGAAGGAACGCAGACCTCGAGACGGCCCAGGTAATCGAGACAGGAAACAAAATCGATCAGAATCCTCTAATGTGCGCCAAGAGCGGGAACCATCTCCTGCTCCTGACTTTTTCGATCCATCGTTTGATGACCATTCGCCGTCGCCCCAACGAATACCGCCGACTCCACCACCGGCCACAGAAACTCCCACTACTGCACCATCGCAACCGGTGCAAAGGGATGGAAATAAGCGACCTGCAGTTAAAAATCAAGGAAGCAATAAGCCTAGTTTTCAGGAGATTTGGAATATTCCAGAGAAAAAGCCGGAAGTCTGGGCGAAACCACCTTGGGGATCATCTGCTGTTGGACTAACTACGATTGATTCTGGAGATACTTGGGATTCTGCACCAGTGCAACCCCATAGGGACCGAAATATAAATACCAGACCCAACGTCCCTAGGGATACCAGGGACAGCCGACCGCCAGTTGCGCGTGCTCCTCAATCAAGAAATACTATCGACTCGGGAGGATCGTGGTCTCCTGATGGTGCTGCTCTCCAAAATAAAAGTGAACAACAGCAACCGTCGCGAACGATCGATGATGGTGAAACTTGGTCCCCAGGTACTAATAAATGTGTACAGCAACCTCAACGTGATTTGAGACAAGATAGCCACCTTCCACAGCAGTTTAGTGCCAGAAGAAGTAGATCGCCGCATCAAGTTCAACTCAGCAATACAATTTCGGGTGGTGATATGTGGGACCTTGATAATCCGGCAAGCACCCGGAAACTCTCCTCGCCCAAACGTAATGTCCATCAGAACCCTTTATTGTCCGGTGAAACCTGGGACGATGACAGTGATATGTTTAATGAACCAACTGGAGTAGCATCATCAGATCAATTTGATCGAAGGCCATCGAATGAACAGCGACCGCTAAATACGATCTCATCGATGCGGAAGCCTCCAGAGCGGAACAGACGTAGTCGATCCCCCTTCCGTCAGAGACGAAGCCAATCAAGGTCCCCCGATCGAAGACAAAGAAGCACGGATCGTTCACCTATTAGACGCAATAACAGTGCGGACCAATCATCTAATCGAAGGATCGTCGGACAAATTCGGAGTCGTGATCAAAGGAGTCAGTCACCGGTGGCAAGACAGCTAAGTGTGGATCAGCATGCTAACCGACCACCCGATCGAAGAAACCACGAGAGTGATCAGTCACCTTTTGGTAAGCGGCGACGTAGTCGAAGCAGATCACCCGTCCGCCTGCAGGGTAGCTTCAACAAACCACCATTAGGTCGAATGCCTTTCAGGCCCGGGAGAAGTTGTTCTCCTCGTCCAGATCTTACATTGTCATCGACTGATATGTGGGATGCCGGAACATCTTCGCGCACGCAATTGCCACCCAAACAAAATATTGCAGAAAATTTGTTACTGGCCGGAGGAACATGGGATGATGAAATCGTACCACTTAGAGGTTTGGCAGGTCGCTCGCCGCCTCGGCTACGGGAATCTCTACAAGATCGTCGCCAACGATATGCTCTAGATCGATTATCTCCAAACGGTAGAAGGCGTAGCATCAGCCGCGATCGTTTGCTTCCTGAACGAACAAATGAGAGCTTCGACCGGTCTCCACTGCGTGAAGGTGGCAATAGAAAGTGGAGCCGAGATCGATCCCCTAATCGTCGGAAACGAAGTCACTCAAGATCTCCAGATGGATGGCGTCAAAGCATGGAACGCTCACCTGTCAGGAGAAGGCATAGCGTTGGTAACCGCAGTCCAAATTATCAGAGAATGTTAGATTACTGGAAAGCTGTAGAGGACAGAGAAGGGGAAATGGAAATGTCATCTGACAGACCAAACGTGGAAAGGTTTAACGAATTTGGGCATTCTGAACGATGGGTGTCTCATGATATTCTTGATCCAGGAGATAGATCTTGGTCACCGCCAGCAAGTGATAGAGGCTTGGCGAAAAGGAACATTACTGGACGAATTGATAGCGATATACCTTGGGCAAATGAACCAGAACCTCGTCATCGAGCAATGGATGACTCACAGTACAGTCCATCAAGGGCTTTTGATGCTATAAGCTCCGAAGATGAATGTGATTTCACTAATCCGAGACGTGCGGCTAACAAGACTACTCGAAAATCAACATTACAGGCGCGTGAATCGTTTGAAACTATTCCTTTGACACTTCCCTCGCGGTCTCAGCAACCAATCATCCAACTGGACGAGTTGCCTTTTGCAACAACTTCACCAATAGTTGATCATGAAGCTTCTCGTGATTCACTTGATTCGGTTCCGCCATTCAAAGGAAATGAAGATGCGCTCGAAAAGCCAGACGAGGTTTCTCCCACTAAGAAACACCCGGTGGGTCAAACGCCATCTCCTCAACCACAAGCGGGTGCAGATGAGAAGAAGAGTGTTTTGGAACATTTGAAACAGCGAGCTGAAAGGTTGAAAAAGCTTGAAGAAATGAAACTTGCAAGGCAGAAACTATTAGTGCAGATCAAACAAAAACATCTTGCTAGCAATCCGCAGTCATCAGAGGTCGATATGAGCAAACTCAACATGCCAATGCATGTCCAACCATCGGAAATGTTCGATGATGATATACAGCATCATCCAGACCCAGTTCCATGCACCTCAAATAGACAAGTTCTGGTAGCAGCTGTGACTGTCCCTACCGCTAATGCCCTGCTGAGCAATGTCGATTCTTTGCATAATAAACCACTCCTTCCTGCAACAGGAATACCAGTACCTTTTCCGCAGATACCGACGCTACCTATCGGCCCGCCGCTGTCATTCAGCATTGCACCTCCAGTTCCACCCCTACCTTCGGAAGCACCACCTCCGCCTCCCCCAGATGAACCTCAACCACAGGAGCCAGCTGATTTTATTAATACAATGATTCCACCACCCTCGAGTGCGTGGAATCCACACCCTCCTCCCTTCACCCCCATGGCTCACTTCGATGTGAGTCAACCGCCACCAAACCTTGCTAATCCGCTGTTGAACACAATGCCGTCACCACAATACGAACCAGATGAAGAAGAGCCTTTCGATGACCGTTCAAACTCGTTTGCAGATAACAATACCTTAAATCCACAATTTCAACCGTCCAACTTTTTTGATAAATTCCGAAGATCCCAGCCAAACCGTGGACAGAATTTTAACATGTCACCGGAAGACAATTCATTTCGGCGTATGCCGTCGGAAGAGAACGATTTCATCAATATGGGAATGCGAGATTTCAACGAACCGGATAATCAACAGCAAAATCGCGATCCACGTCAGCAACAGCAGCAGCACCGCTTTGGAGGCAATAGGCAATTTATGCGACAACAGCAGCAACAAAAACAACAGCGTGATCCTCGTCAAAACCACGACGGGAATGTTTACGGCGGAGCTCAATCTAATCGCAACAATAACAGCAACAATCCTGGAAACAACTTCAACAGCAACAATCCGGGAAATAACTTCAACAACAACAATCCTGGCAACAATTTCAACAACAATCCGGGTAGAAACTTCAACAACAACAATCCTGGCAACAATTTTAGCAACAATCCAGGAAACAACTTCAACAACAACAATCCGGGTAAAACCTTCAACAACAACAATCCTGGCAACAATTTTAGCAACAATCCTGGAAACAACTTCAACAACAACAATCCTGGCAACAATTTTAGCAACAGTCCAGGAAACAACTTCAACAACAACAATCCTGGCAACAATTTTAACAACAATCCGGGAAACAACTTCAACAACAACAATCCTGGCAACAATTTTAACAACAATCCGGGAAACAACTTCAACAACAACAATCCGGGAAATAACTTCAATAGTGGCCGTGGCAGTGGTGGTCGAGGTCGTTTTAACAATAACCAACAACAGCAACGGTTCAATTTGCAACAGCAAAACCGTAATCCACGGTTCAACAACAATAGAAATAATCAACAGCAGCAGCGATTCCTTATGCAGCAGCAGGAAATGTTCGACGAAAGCTGCTTCGATATGAATGAAGTAGATAGCAACGATGGAGGAGATGCCAATAATTGGGATGATCTTATGTAGTAAATTACAGATATTGGCAGCATGAGGTAAGTTGTACCTGTTTGATATATTAATTTTACCTATAACGCCTTGTGATTTAGACTGCAACCGGATGTTTGAACATTAAGGTTAATCTCTAAGGAAGTCTTACACATAGTGACCAGTAAACCGGGAATTCGAAGTCATCTGGAAAAACCCGTGAATTTCGATGACAAATCGGGAAAAAATACTCAATCTATTATTCAGAAAAAAATAAGATTTAAACCTTTGAAAATGGTTAAGATTCTTGTACTAGACTAATTTTTTTTAAACGAATTTTGAGAAGATTTTAAAATTAATTTCAGGAATAATACCAAGGTATTTCAGATAAAAGGTAGTTTTGGACCGAACTCTTCGATATTTTAGACTTTAACTCCAATCAACTTGTGTGACTACAGAGGAGAATTTATATGTAGCTCTGTGAATTCCAAGTCGATTGTGACGAATATCCCAGGATCCATGAAAAATACCAAGCGAGCCGAATGTTGAGGGTACAACTCCAAGTAATTCTGAGAATAATTTTAAGGGAATTCCAAGGGCATCACGAAACGAAAAGGCGAGATTTCAGAAGAATTAAAGGAGAACTCCATGAGGAGAACTGAGGTGAATTGTTTGAAAATTCTAAAGAGAATTCAAGCGAAGGAAGCTTCGAAAAAATATAGGGATTAATTTCATGATTTTTTGGATTGATTGATTTAATTTTTTTTTGTGTTGTACTTTGTACAATGATGCGCGTCCAATACAGTGATGTAACAGGTTGTATTGGTTAACAAAAGCAACATCAAACGCACCGAGAAATGTTAATGCAAGTGAGTTGAGGTGGCTGAGTGGAGGAACTAGGACAATTTATTTATTAAAAAATAAATAAACGATATATGTACATGCGTCGATTTATTTACAGCTCTTAATCTCTAGTTTGCTAGAAAAATATTACATAGTAATTAAATTGTATATATTTTTCGAAAACTTGTCGAACGCATTGGTTTCTTATGGGTTCCACTATTATAGGGACACTACCGCAACTATTGGTGCACAGGAGTCAAAACCTTAAGGAAAATCATTGTTTTCCGTCATTTTAGGGCTAATTTAATTTTTGAAATATGCAAATTTCCTTTATTTTAGGTGAACGATGAATCATAATATTTCGGACGGAACTCAATGGTAAAAAATAACAAACAAAAGGACTGTATACTAGGCGAATGAGAACGACCTGAATTTGAATTTAGTTCACTCATAATTGCCAAAAGTGCAGAAACTCAGCTATGAGTAAATTGGCCTCAAAAAAATTTGCCTGTGGAAAACATCAAAAATCTGTCAGAAAATGGAGACAATTAACGAGGATAGGAGTAGTACCAATAGATTGATTGAGTGAATCCAATCCTTACTTTTCTAATATTCGGGAAGTTTTTCCTGGACAAACCTGGATAAACATGAGGCAAATTTACTCATCGCTGAGTTCCTGCACTCTATCTGATTTATGAGTGAACAAAACTCAAATTTGTGTCGTTCTCATTCGCCGTGTACAATTGAAGGCTGCTCGTCCTGGTGAGTGCTGTCAGAAGCAGCATGATTAATTGCATCTCCCTTTCCGGAATCCGAACTGCCTCTCCGATAATCCGTGCTCACCCTCCGTACATTTCGTTAGCCTGTTGACGATAATCCTTTCCTAGAGTTTTCCGAGTCTATCAAGCAGGCATATAGGCCTATACGATGCGGGATTTCACGGAAGTATCTTCCATCTGTCAGTGTATGTATGTATGTATGTATGTGTATTACACAATTTTGGACGACATGTTTCTCAGCAACCACTAGATCGAATTGTACGCAACAACCACCAAAACAATAGTATTGTGGTCCCACAGAACGGAATCGGACAACTGGTTCCGGAGATATGGCTAGAACATGTTCCGATCAATATGGGTCATGAGTTCACCTGAATCATCTTAAATCCATCATAGGACACTTCAAATCACATAAGAACTCAAAAAGGAGCTCAATTGGCCATATCCATATGTTCCGGCTATCCCAGGGGAAGTGGCCAATTTCTGACTTGAACCAAAATCCATCATGCGACACCTCAAAACGTGTGAATTCAAAAACAGGTTTTGGGAACCCCTGGGGAAGTGATCCGTTTCTCACTTGAATCGAAAACCTCAAAGCACATTAGACACAACTGGACATGTTCCAGGTTACAGTTCCTTTCGTGGGCCAAAATCTTGGGAGGAATGGAGCAAAGTAAAATAGCGTCTAGTCCGTTAAAGGACGACGAAAGAAGAACGAGAACGAATTTTATTCAAATAATTCACGTTGCTAAATGCACCGCTTCAGTTCTCCTCAACGTCGAAGTTCAGGCCGATCATGGTACGGAACTTCTCCAGCTTAACTCTCGCCAAAGCCTTCGTGAGTATGTCTGCGACAATTGATTCCGTTGAACAGTACCTGACTTCCATCACGCCAGTCGACATCAGTTCTCGCACAAAGTTGAACCGTGTATGGATGTATTTGGTTCGTCGGCTCCCTCCTTCGGATGACAGCATGGCGATGCAGCTCCAGTTGTGCTCGTGCAACACCACCGTGCCCATCGACGACCTCGTCTATTTCATCCATTATTTAGCTGCAACAGCCACCAAGCTCGAGCTTCAAGTCAGCTGTTGCGCCTCGGACCAATCCGCTTCGGTAGGTTGGCTCACCTTTCGTCCCAGAATAGACGCAGCAATCGCAATATCGGGTCTAGTGCACACCGCAACGACCAGACTCTGGTAACGCTCTCCGGATGGCATACACTCCTCCTTCTTTTGCTCCACGTTTGGATACCCAGGATCCATGGGCATTTTTGATGGCTTCGCTTGGTCCATATCACGGTACGGTGATTGGTTCATTTTTTTTTTTTTTTTTTTTTATTATAGTCACTTTAACACTCTTGGGTCATTCGTGACTTGTCCGGGGTGAGATTTGAACTCGTGACTTTGGCGTGAGAGGTATGGATGTTAACCACTACGCCGGGGTCGCCCCCGGTGATTGGTTCAACAAGAAACTGTCGGAACACGTTTGCTCCACCTGTTTGCCGAGGTAGTTGGTGACATCCCTCAGGCACGTGAGCCTGAATCGTTTCGACAGGTATTAGTAGATCCTCTCGTATTCGTTGTTGTCGGGACTCACACTCAACATAACGTCGAAGTGCAACAATATCGATAATTGATTATCGATGCGCCGAACGTAGAGGCACGGGTCTGCCTTGGATTGCTTCTACCCAAGCTGCTTCAACGTTTCTGTGATTTTCTGGTTCAGCCCGTATATGCTACGCTTCAACAAACACACCTCCTCCTCAGATCCTACTTGATAGCCCATTGGTCTCGGTGAGGTATCCGTGCAGGTATGCTGACTTCACATCGATGTGCTTGACTTGCAGGGATCGACGAGCGGCAATCGTCAACAGCGTTCGAAGCGTAGTTTTTTTTGGCTACTGGAGCAAAAACCTTGTCGTAGCCGGTGAAAAATAAAATAAAATAAAATAAATAAATAAAAATGGCAGCTTCACGATCTCCCATGTCGAGTTTTCTTGAAGGATTGCGAATTCCTCATCCATTGCCTTCATCATGCTGATTGGACACTAGTCGGGTGGTTTCTACCGCAATGGTAACACACCTTTGTTCTTACGTCTGGACCGTCGTACATCCTCGGCTTCCTCCTCGTCATCAATTTATCGGCTGTAACAACGGGTTTCTCATCATCCTCAACGAAAAAAGGTTTGAAAGGATAAAAAACGATACATCTGCTGGAATGAACCTGGCATCTCGAGATACGACAAGCTTGTTTGTTGCTAGATCCAGGAAACGGTAGCCCTTGTGCTACTGCGAATAACCGACGAAGGTCATTTTTGTCGACTTTGGGTCCAATTTCGTACGCTTCTCTTTTGGGACCCACACGAAAGCAGTTCGAAGCGGTTCCGACGAGTATGCTTTCATGGCAACCAGATGCAGTGACGTCAACTTGTGGGTGATTGATTCTGGCGCAACGTCCCACATGGCAGCCAACAAGGAGTTTTTCGAGTCACTGGACGAGTCCATCTCCGAAGACATCATGCTGGCAAATGGAATGAAGACCAAATCGGCTGGAAAAGGCATGTGTCGTATTCAGTGCATTGGTGAAGACGGAAATATCAACAGCATGTCCCTCAATGATGCGCTGTTTGTCCCTGATCTTGAATTGAATCTGTTCTCTGTACGATCGGCAACGAAGAAGGGCGCCCCTGTCATTTTCGACGATGCAGGATGTCGGTTTTCCAATGGCAGCAAAGTTATAGCTCTTGGCTTGGTATCAGGCGGTTTGTACAACCTTCGGATCACCCACGGAGCGCATATGGCCAACGGCAATAGTCACTCGGAGCATTGTCAGCACGCGTGGCACCGGAAGTTCGGCCACAGAGACCCAGAAGCAGTCGCCGAGTTGGAATCGAAGAATCTGGCTACGTGTGAGTGTTGTTTGGAGGGCAAGGTTGCCCGGCTCCCTTTCCCCAAGCAATCCAAGAATAAAACGAAGCAAGCACTTGACCTCCTGCACATGGATCTATGTGGACCGATGAACACACCAACGCCAGGTAGTTGTCGGTGCTTCATGGCGATTACCGTTGCGTGAAGTCGGTACTCGATGGTGTATTTTTTGAATAGCAGTTGATTTCATCAAGCAATATGTGCAGGCGCTTAGCCGTGGGACACTCAATTTCCCGATTGTGGCCAGCTCCTGCTCTGAAAAAACGACGGAACACTCCCGAACGCGACTAACTTACGCACGGTGCGAAAAAAAAACTATTCTGTTTATCGGTTGCTATGGTAACTTGCCTGAGCTCATAACCTCTTGGGAGGAATGGAGCAAAGTAAAATAGCGTCTAGTCCGTTAGAGCGACGACGAAAGAAGATCGAATTTTATTCAAATAACTCATGGTTAACCTAGCCTTATATTATTTCTACACTGAAGCTCTTCACGTTGCTAAATGCACTGCTTCACAAAACCCATCATACGATACTTGAAATCAATCCGTAAGAAGGGTCACATCTCATAGGTGGATAAATTCAGGTTTGTGAAAATGAACTTTCCAACACTGTTTAAGACATCCAAATTTTCCATCTTCAAAAGTCGTGCCTTATGAAACTCTTAAGCTTTTTTTTTTTTTTGGCTCAGCGTAACTTGGTGTGTCTCCGGTTAGATTACTGCCGTAATACGCATAACTGTGCCATGCTCTATGCAATCTGTATAACGGCAGAATCAGGCCATAAGAAAAACATAAACATGAAGTTACCGTAGCATTATGGATGTAAAACAAAATACAGTCACTATGTTTCGTTTATTTCGACCGCTGAATTCCCTCCAACCAAATTTTCAATCTTCTGAGCTTCAATCAAAATTGTCAAGATTTTAGAACATGGTCAAATTTTGAATATGTCAGAACTTTTATTCAAGATTCCATTTTTCTGGGGCCTGACAAATTGAAAAAAAAATCAAATTACTAAAATTATTTACATATTATTAAAATGGTGCACTAATTAGTGTTTTCTTTTCTTTTCAGATCCTTATATATTATATTCAAAGGCACATGGCACATGTCTTGTGAATGTTACAACTCAATTTAGCTTCAGTGTTTTAGTCGTGTATTTTGCGCTAAGAATGAACCTATTCTGGTATGTTTGAAGGAAATAATATATGTGTAGAATGGGTTACATTATTTTGTAAATGGAGAAAAATAAAAACTTACTGTACAGATAAAGTCAACTTATTGGAATAATTGGAATAGGTTTACTTTAATTTAACCAATGAGGTAGTGTTTCTCTCTAATAGTAGAAGTCCCAGTAGAAATATCTGAATATAAATGTGCAAGTGAACTCACTGATCCGAATTCATTTATTCATGTGTGAAATATAAAGAAAGTAATAAAAATACATTAGCACATCGTCAGTTCAATTTCAACCTTACTCTACTTCTTTCGGCTTGCCCCAGCAGCAGTCAGCTTCTGGGCCAGAAGTTTCTTCTTCTTGTCCGATCCTCCCTTCTTTTTCTGCTTGTGTTTATTGTCCGACTTGGTTTTGGCAACGGCTCCATGGAACTCCCGTACCGGTGGTTTCTGCTTCTGATCGCCTTGTTGCTGATTCGTTTCGTTCACAGGTTGGCTCGTTGGACCACCCGGGCGGGAGAATTTTGCCTTGTCGACTAGATTACCTTTCTTATTCTTACGCTTTCCTTGTTTGGTGGGATCAACTTTCACTATGCGCAGAGGGCGTCCGTTCAGCAGTTGTTGGTTTAGCTTCAGTGCTTTGGCGATCGATACTCCCTTCTTGAAGCACACATATCCAATTCCCTTGTCTGCAATTTGTCGCACATACTCGAGTTCACCCACGCGACTGAAGAAATCGTACAGTTCGTTGTCGGTAGTTTCTAAAATTTAACGGCAAATATTTAAGGTTCAGTGTTGCATCGACCCAATAAGAACAACCCGCTTTCAAAAGAAGGTAACTATACTTACTGTGGTTGATGTTCCCAACGAAAATTGTCGATGCCGCGTGTCCCATCTGTTTCTGCGTGTGCATCGTCACTCGAATGCGGTTACCCTCAACAAGTTGACCATTCGTGACACAAGCTGCCTCTGCTTCCTTCCTGGTCTCGAATCTAATGTAACAGTTCAGAGCCTTTGCCTCCTTTCGATCTTTCTTCTTGAACAAAGTAACACCATCACTCGAACGGAACCGGATGGTCAGTATCTGGCCGTACTGTTTGAACATGACTTTCATCGTAGATTTCTTCACCGTATTCGGAAGGTTACCGATGAAAATTGAGTGTTCAGGACCTGGAATAAACAATTAAGACGATTCATTGTGTACATGAAATGGAAAGTTACCAACGAACCGGTGAAACGCTTTTCCTTCTTTTTTTCGTTGACTTTTTTATCCTTAGCCTTCTTGTCAGCCTGCTCATCTCCGGAAGATTTGTCGTCGTCTGCTTTCGAGTGTTGGTTCAAAATTCTTTGATTGACTTGATCCATATCATTGGAAGCATCGTTCTGTTCATCTTCAGATTCGCTTTCCGAAGTGACCACATCCTTATCCGCTTCAATGACCTTCCCTTCATGTTTGTTGTGTTTAACCTTGATTTTCGGTTCCGTTACGCTTGGCTGGGATTCCGACTTCGTTCCATTAAGCTGATTCTTCTGTTTGTTCTTTTTCTTGTGCTTCTTTTGTGGTTTATCTCCATGGACTTCAGTTTTGACTACAGGAGCATTGCGTTTTTCCTTCTTGGATACAGCCACTGTGGTTCCATTTACTTCAGCGCTATCATCGGGTTTATCCGTTACAGTAACCTTATTTTTCTTGTGCTTCTTCGGCTTATCATCCATCACTTCAGTTTCGACTTCTGGAGCCTTACGCTTCTTCTTCTTGGATTTTTCCAAAACAACATCAGCTCTTTTTTCACCAGCGAAGCCTTCTTCTTCAACCGAAAGCTTCTTTTTCTTGTGTTTCTTCTTCGGCTCCTGCTCGCTGTGCTCCGACTTCACCTCAGGAGCCTTGAGCTTATCCTTCTTGGATTTCTTCGAGACAGCAGCTTCGCTTCCATTTCCATTGACTTCGGCTCCAGGTTTGCGTTCAGCAGAAGTCTCATCCACCGGTGGAGTCTTGTGTTTTTTGGCCTTCTTCGTTTTCTTCATCACTGCATGTTCAACAATCGCTTCCGTTCCAAGGGCAACGTCCTTGATTTTGGACAAATCCTCCCGATTTTTCTGCTTTTTGATTTTCTTTGATTTCTTGGAAATGCCCATGCGGCTAGCGGTTTCATTGTTCGCCACTTTTTCCTGTCCTTCTAGAGGACTTAGCTTTGGGCCAGATTTGAATTTCTTCCCCATCGTTGTAAGGACTCCTTTACACACACAAGTTCCGGAGAATATGTAAGATTCTGCTATTTAAAAAAAAAACTTTCTGCAATAATCTGAAAGACCGGTCAACGTTTTGAATGTGATCGAAGTGGAACGAAAATGGAAAACATTAATTCTAGACTAACAAATCCAAAAGGTCTAAAAACCATTTTAAACTTAATGCTTTATTATAGCTCCGTATATACTTGAAAAAATATCTTCATCAAAACTTTCACATTCAAAACTACGTCACCGTAAGGGAAAAGCAGATTTCAACAACAAGATAAAGCTGTTCTCGCGTCACTTTTCAAATAGACCAATGTAACAAATGTAAACAAATCGAGTTAAGCGATACAAACTATTGCTCTTCTATCATTGTATGTGATACAAAAACATCCATCCAAATTTACTTTCATTTATTTAAGATAATCATTGATCAAAAATTGTCCAATGTACAATTTGAAATGATGGGTACATGATTGTTACTTCGGTCATTCGGACTGCCTAATATGATTGGTGCTCATTTTCCAAAGGCGGGGCCAATCTAAAGTTAGGTACTATACTCTGAAATCTGTGAAAGGGAATCTAGTATCATGTAGACAAAACGTCCAATGTAACACTCATTGATTATTTCATTGAGGAAAATCGTCCAATGTAACATGTCCGATGTACACCTCGACTTGTCAAAACGTCCTATGTGGTTTTTTTCTATGTTGTAGCATGAAATTCAAAGTAAAATTGTAATTTTACCGTTTCTTTTGAATTTTCAACGTTATTATACACTGACTGCATTAAAAATAGTATTGCAAATTGTATTGTTTTTAAACAGTTAAAATAATAATCTGTCGAACTTCAACTTAGGTTTTCTCAAAATGGTGAATATGTTACATTGGTCTATTTGAAAAGTGACGCGAGTGTTGATTTTTGTGAGTATTTTTTGAATCACGGGAAAATTGGTCTTAACTTAACTTAATAAAAACAAAACAAAGTTTACAATACACAACGTTTAAGTCTTTATGATTTATACGTCAAGATATAATAAAAAACACGTGCATTTGACAAGTTGCAGGGCTATGCTGTACGATGAAATGATTGTACAATCACTGTAACTGGTGAGTACCCATCAATGGGTGAAAAAGTAACCATTTTGTGGTAGTTAAATTAAATAAAAAAAACTTAAAAAGTATGCAGATTCCCGCTTCACCTTATTGAGTCCGAGCCATAATTACTTCGGCAATAGTCATGCATGATTGAAATCGAAATAATCTTTCCAGTATTAAATTTTAGTCTTTTTTCAATACTGATATATAATCAAAAAAGATTAAAATTCAATCAAAAATTATTAAAATGGAATCAAAAATTATTGACATTTATTCAAAAAAAGATTATCTATTAATATCAGATGCTTATATTTTAGAAAGAGAGGGTTAATTTTTAATCATTCGATATGATTAAACGGAGTTTAATGTCAAATTGATTAAATTTCAAGCAAAATGGGAATAGTTCAATTTATCAGTGTATGGAGCTGTCAAAAAATGCGTATAAATGAAAATTTCAAATAGTGGGTACACAGAGAAAAAAAATTACCCTAAATTTAAGTTCTTTTTACTTAATTTTGAGTTTTGCATCCCACTCTCACTTTTTGTTGTTGTCAAAAACGGAACGAGAGATTCGACTTTCTCATGACTATCGTTCAATAAGCTACTAGTGAGTATATGAGATATTCTCAAATTTGAGTCAATTGAACTTAATTTTGGGTAGAAAATACACACGAGTAAGTAATTATTTTTGCCGTAGCCAAATGCAAACTACTATAAGTGGTTTACTGAAAATTAGCTTATTGAACGGAACATGGGAGATGACCCGCATAAACGCGAACCATCACATGACCTTACCGATAATGGTTATAAATTGTTTATAATCCCTGCTAAACTTCAACTGAAATGGTTATGGAACTTTACATGAACGTTTGTGTGATAAAGTTTTAACCTTAAGTATTATAGTTTTTTGGAAGTGGACCTTACAAATAATGGGTTGTTAAGAACCATTACCATTCCAAATTCTTGTTTTCTCCATACATTTTCGGAAAGAGAACTATATTCGAACGTTTTTACTTATGGTTTGAGAACATTAATGGTTATGGTTATGGTAGTCAGTAAGGTCCATTAATGGTTTTGTATTATCGCTCAACTTTACGTGAAATATATCGTGAATTGGTAATCAGTAATTTACAGGCAACCAATTCGCGATATATTCCACATAAAGTTGATCGATGTTACAAAACCATTCATGGACCTTACTGGTTACCATAACCATAACCATTAATGTTCTCAAACTATAAGTTAAAAGGTTTTAGTATAGTTTTCTTTCCGAAAATGTATGGAGAAAACAAGAATTTTGAATGGTAATGGTTCTTAACAACCCATTATTTGTAAGGTCCACTTCCAAAAAACTATAATACTTAAGGTTAAAACTTTATCATTAAACGTTCATGTAAAGTTCAATAACCATTTCAGTTGAAGTTTAGCAGGGATTATAAACAATTTATAACCATTATCGGTAAGGTCAATTTATGGTTCGCGCTTATGCGGGGAGTGAAAAGAACTTAATTTTGGGTAATTTTTCGGTTCCGTGTACTTTTTCACCCAGTTCCGAAACCTGTTCAGGAATTATAAATGGGTTCATTTTTACCCATTATTGGGTGAAAAATATCTTTGTTGCTCCGTAATACCCCGGACAGACTATGGCTTGTATCATGTAATATAGGCTGGCTTGCAATGAGCACTCATACATCTAGTTTTCACTGGAAATCCTATATATGAGTGCTCATTGCAAGCCAGCCTATATTACATGATATAAGCCATAGTCTGTCCGGGGTATAACGTTGCTGACATACTTGGTGTGTCTTGTCGAGTGCCTTTGTTTCATTTTTAAAAGTACAAAAAGTGATAAATATGTGAAAATTATCCTTCTACAGACATCGAAGCAGGACTAGCGGCTCCGATAATTCGATGTATCACGGTAATATATCCATTACGCTAGATTTTGCTGTTGTGAAAAAGGCGTTCAATTTTTTTTGCAGGATGCTGAAACAGCTTTACAAGAACAATTGATGAAGTATGTTGCCTGAAATGTCGATGCTAACGTTGATGTGGCGCCCCATCTGATTTTCAACGGCAACAATTACTTCATTTACGTTGACGCACAACTCATCCACGGTGGAATTGACCACTTTGTCAAGCAGTTTTGGCGTGACTTTCTACCAGCGATTCCACAAAACTACACTAATAAAAATTCAATGATTAATTTTATGTGTCCCACACATGAATTTTTACAATGTGATAAACATATGATATATATGTGTCCGACACATAGTTTTTATGGGTACACATAAAATTCATGTGTAGCCACACATACTATTCATTTGACTCATAAATTTCATGTGTAGTTCTGAGTGGATTCTGTTTATGTGTGGAAACATGAAAATCATGTGGAATTTTACATGGATATTCGCCAATAAAAATGTGTCGATTATTATGAGTGTAGACCAACTAATTTCTATTTTTTTTTATGAAACGCACAAATGTTGGCTACTTTTCTCGAGGTTCTAGAAGAAAAAAATCTCAAAATAATGTGTTATTTCAAAGTTTGAGTGGTAGTAAACGTTATTTTAACTGCTCGAATGAAATGGTTAATTTACTCCATCCGCACGCTGGACACTCTATTTAAAGTGTTCACTGTTTTCAACATTTGTCCACCAGCAGAAGTGTAGAAAATTATTGATTTCATCGAGATTATAGGTTATGAAATCAAAACGACCAGCACCCGTCAGATGGTCAATCGTTTGGTTTCATCGTTTAAGGAATCCATCCATGCTGACGAAAAAGATGCTGATGAATAATGTATTAATTTCATAAATTATTGCAATGATGTTCAATAAAAACCAAGTTCAGCAATCTATATTTTCCATTTTATTGATGGATTTTAAAATTATTGTAAATTCTCAAATTTCAGATTGAGTCCCATCAATACATTTAAAAAAAGGAGTACTTTTTACACAGTTACGGAAAACAATGCATTCTGGAAATGGGCAAAAAGTACCCCATGATTTGACGTAGAGCTTACCCATTAGTGGGTAAAGACGTTTTACCAATTTTATGAGTTTACCTACTTTACCGCGAAATGGGCACTTTTTCACCCATTAATGGGTACTTTCCAGTTACAGTGTACATTGCAAAGCATCACCGAGGGGCTTTAATATGGTTATTTCTTTTTAATGTGATCACACTTGTTTTAAATAGCTTTTTCCCCCTCCTTGATTTGTTTTTCATCGATCTTGTTTTCCGTGTCGAGCACCAATGCCACCGACGCCAGGGAGGCAGCTCCCACATCTGGACCCTATCGATCCAACAACTCATGAACCGGGGACCAACGGCTTTACTTCCCACCGTAATCAAAGATGTTATGCCTCAGAAAATCCCGGCGGCGCTGACTGGGATTTAACCCGAGCCTGCTGGGGTGAGAGGCAATCACGCTTACCACTACACCACCGGCGCTGCTAGTTCCAGTGCTGCACAATTAACCGCTTCATTCGAGCAGTTAAAATGACGTTTACTACCACTCGAACTTTGAAATAAAATATCATTTTGAGATTTTTTCTTCTAGAACCACGAGAAAAGTAGCCAACATTTGTGCGTTTTATAAAAAAATAGAAATTATTTGGTCCAGTTTTGTGAAATCGCTGGTAGAAAGTCACGCCAAAACTGCTTGACAAAGTGGTCAATTGGGTTCTTTAACGGTATTGAGGTAAATGCATAAACTGCATTATAAAAGAACCCAAACCCAACATTTCATGGTGGAACTGCTTTAAATAAGTACGATTACATTTGCAAAAATCACCCCTCGGTGTCACTTTGTTTGGTAGCGAACTGTCAGTTTGTTTGTTTAGTTTCGTCGGTGGTTTAGTGTCGAACAGTGAAGTTATTATTTTGCTTTAAATCTTGATTTAAAAATCGAGATCAAAGTGTGTCAGTTTGAAAAATATATCGCTGCACAGCAAAAAAAGTTGTTGAATATTACATCGAAACTGCTGCAACCGATGGGCTAACTGGGCTAACTGTCAAGAAACCTGAAAACGTATCGATTGTGCGCCGGCCTTTAATTTTGAGTTGTTTCGTCTTTCCGTGGTGTATACACTAAAGAGCCTGAACTTATAAAGAGGCGACATCTAAATTCAGCCTCTTTAGTATCCACCTGTATCCAATGAGCTGGATTACCGAGGTGAAGCAATCACTCACACAACCACTGTACGATACAGGCAAGTACACGCAAGTAGTGACGTCACTACTTGCGTTTACGTTGATTTTTTGGTTTACTAATACAACCCTATTTCACGATCTGCGCCACCTCTCTCTGTACCTCATTGACCTGTATCCATCCACCGGCGCCGGCTCACTTCAAAAGCAAGCGCAAAGGATGCAAGATCGCTCAATTCTAGCTACAGAGTTCTCATCTATATTTACATCTTGGCAAAATGTATTTGTTTTCCTGTCAGCTCAATATTATTCTCGCGATCTTTGTTGGTTTTCTTTAATAAATTTGGTGATTTTTGACTTGGTTTCGGTTAAAAGACGCTCCGATTAAACAGGACCTGTTCGGCATCTGCAGTGTGATAAAAGTGATCGTATTCAATCGTTATGGATGCAGCAGTTTCATCCAGTACCGATAGAAGCCTCCAGCAGAACCCGGCTGTTCGGCGCCGGCAGATGCGACAAAAAGTGTTGAACCGAATCCGGAAGGTCAATATCAAGAATAAGGGTGCCAAGAGTTTCTACTACTTCACCTATGAAACAGTGGATACCAAGAGCAAAGACAGCTCGGCCGCGTCGACGTATTTCTTCAACGGAGAACCATGCGAAGGAGATGAGCAGTTCCTAAAGCAAAGTGGGTGATAATCATTCGGTGCTGAGTTGGTTCGTGAAATACATTACCTGTTTTTATTCTACCCGTAGTGAAACGCAGCGTATTTGTAAGCAACATTGCAGCTGGGACGAGAAAATCCGAAATCAAGGAGCTATTTGACCGTTATGGTAAGATTGAGAGCATTCAACTGAGGGCCCGAAACGGTGAGACTATTGTCGGGCGACAGCACATCTCTCCCTACAGTCCAATTATCGGTATGGTGAAATTCAGCAAGAAGGAGGAAGCCGAAAAGGCTTGCGAATTGAAAGATGGAAAATTCCAGGCCAAATTGGTCGATCAGAACTTCCAGTATGGTAAGCAGCTGTGCATTTGAAATTTCAATCAATCTTGTAATCGTATCCTATTCATGTTCTGTTTCAGAAAAAGAGAACTGCATTCGTGTCGATAACATTGATCCTAAGATTTCGAAGACAGAGTTACGAGGGTACTATAACACTTTCGGAACCATTCTCAATATCTCATTGGAAACAAACGATGGCTCTCTGATACTCACGGACAAGGAATATCAAAAACAGAGTTTTGTTTGCTGCTACATTCGATTCAGCCGCAGGAGTGAAGCAAAGACTGCTCGAGAGATGCATGAGTATATTTTCCGGGATAGGAAGCTCAGGGTGGAGTTGGCCTATCAGAAGCATTGTGATCCCAACAGTAAGTAGGCTTGTAGGGTTTGCATATATGTAATTGACCATGATTATTCAACTTTCCTGTTCGTAGAATTAAGCAACAATGTTTTGCGAATGTTTTTCCAAAATGTCGGCGATGTGATTGCACTGGACCAGATTCCTCACCAGCACATGGGATACGTGTGCTACAAGCATCCCCTGCCACCGGAAACAATCAAAAGACTGAATCAGCGTATCTATCGCAGCAAGAGAATTCATTTCGAAAAGCTGGACATCGGTAATCTGGTCAAGAAGCAGAACAAATCTGGAGGAGAATCCATGGACGTTGCAACCACCAGTGGTCAGGATAGAGTGCTGGTTGCTACGAGTACGTTGGCTGCATCTGCGGCATCAGCGGTAGCAGCACCGACAGCGAAAAAGGCAAAAATGAAGACAATACAGAAGAAAGCCGTTAATCCCGGAGGAACGGCCACATCCACCGGAGGTGTAGTGAAGAAAAAGATGCCTCGGAAAAACGCGGCAACTGGTACAAAGGCCAAAGCGGCCGACAAGGCCGCCAAAGCTGTGAAAGAAGACATGTCATAGAAGGTAGAAGGTACATTTCAATTATTTAACTTTGCTATAATTTAATAATACACAGCGTTAAGTGTACTAGAGTGTATTTTTAACGATGACGAACTTTTCTGATACTGAATGATGTTATTTTCAATAACATAAGAATGCCTCATACACACACTCACACACTTTTCTGTACTTTCATTCTGGCTTCGAAATATCCGTCCTTCTATCAATTACGCTGTGCCTTTGAGCGTCTGATTTGTATCTTAATGTAGTACCGTGAGTCCTGATGCCGCGCAGCACCCGTGGGTTCGACAATAAATTTGAATATTTTGCAATGTAGGTATATTGATTTTTTTTCTAAATAATTATCGCAAACGTTAGCATATCACATCATCTTTACTAATGCATAACAAATTTGAAAATTGGTTACACACACACGTACAAAATAAAAGAAAGTGTACCATACTTTTTAGTTCCTAATACTGTAGGTTCACAGCAGTAGCATAATTACTTAATAAAATGTATGTTTTACATTCTGAATCATGTATTTTTTTCTAGGATTTTTTAGATTTACGTGGTTTTTAGTTTCCGTAACATTGTTGAAAATAATGTCAGGTAGTGTTCGTGAGTATTGTGCAGTTTTCTCCATTAGCAAACTCCCTGGTAGGCAAAGATAGCACAGCTTACCGTAAACGTAGCCATTCACCCCACCGAAACTTGCACAAACCGCCACCAGATGGATGAACAAATGTCTGTTGGGAGGGCATGAGGGGTGGCGATAGAGATGGCCATTTTGAATGGACGATAACAGGCACGACAAACTGGTGATGTACGGCGAATGGCCCGGGTCACTGGCCGACAGCCTGGAGCAGTGACTCAATGACTCACTCGGCTTCCAAATTGAAATCACTAAATTTGTACAGTGTACCAACTTTCATAAGCGGAGATTACTAGTGTAAACCATAGTTAACAGTGAAAAGTGTGAGGAGAGAGTGAACAAACAATACTATCGAAAGTATTGCGAGGATTAAAATAATTCTCCGGTTGAATAATATTGATCATGTGGAAATCATTGGATTTCAAAGAGCGCATTGCGAGGATTGAAAGAATCCTCCGGATGGTTCAGGTTGATATAAAAGTTAGCGGAAATAATTAGATTTTCTGAGTGTGGGCGGAAATTTGAGGGATTTGACATGCGCTCAAGGCGCAAGTGTAGTGAAATTTTTGAGCAACAAGTAGAAATCTGAGGCATTTCATTGACGAGAAAAAAACATAATCAACAAAAAAATTATTTGCGTGTCACCAGGGAAACCATCACGGATCAAAAAGTCATGTGAGCTATGGTACTCCATTTAGGTGGCCTTGCTCTCCAAACAGTCTTCAAGAATATCAAAGATCATGACCACGTCCCCATTATGGCTCTATTACCAAAGCACTACGATGTTGCTGTCACAAAGCTGGACGAGTTTTTCCAACCGCGTTATCAAAGTACTTCGGAGCGCCGAAAGTTACGATAACTGAAGCAGAAAACTGGTGAGCGGTTTGCGGCTACGACAACAAGTATCCGAAAGCGGATTTAAGAAATACGGAACCGAACTGTAAATTTTGAAAATTTTCTACCTTGTTTGACTCTTATTCCTTTTCGATCCTTGTTTGGACCCTACCCGAGGTAATCCAGCTTAGATATCGATTTGGAAATTCCTCTTCAATCCTTCAGATTCTTATAGTAATCTGCTTGAAGTCGATTTGGATAAAAGTTTTACTACCGCCATCAAGGGCGTAGCGAGGTTTTGAGCTAGGGAGGGGCGAAAAAAAATTACTATGGAAAATTTGGCCGAACGCCATTTCCCCGAAAGTCTTTGTGTTGCTGAGTTTAGGGGGGGGGGGCATTCGACCCCCGCCCCTCTGGCTACGCCTATGACCGCCATGGCGCCTAAGTGCAAAAGAAAAGGACAATCTCTTGATCCCCCTTCTGATGAAATTAATTTGAGCAATTTGATTTGCTCACGGATCATGAGAATGATCCATCATCCAGGAAAAAATCTAGTTAACTTTCCCGGCTTAATGCCAAGAAGGAAAAGATTTCCCCTATTGTGATAACCACTTCAGATTTCCATGCTCTTCGCACGGAACTTTTATTTTTATTTTTCGATTATTTACAAATCTGAACTGACTTACAGCTGAAATAACCACACATTAAAAATCCAGGAGATCATAACCGCTGAGGCAATTTTATAAATCTTAATTTTTCTCATCAAAAATATATGGAAGCACCGCCGGATCACTGCAAACCCGATACAGAAAACAAAATATTCCACGTGGATGATGATTCCAAGCACCTGCGGTGGATAAATTAATCAGGAAAGGTGAAAATATTTTCCTCTTCCTACTTATGCTTCAATAAAAAATTTCATCCTCATCATTCTTTTGATGGTTCCCCTATTCACCACCAGAGGCTGAAACAATCGCTTAGTTTCTATCAGGATTGTATGACATTCCCCAGAATGTCATTTTCCAGAATGCTATTCTCCAGAATGTACCATTCCCCAGAACGGACCAACCACTCCCCAGAATATACCATTTCCCAGAAAACCATTCCCCAGAAAACCATTTCCCAGAAAACCCTTCCCCAGAATGGACTATTTTCCTGAAAAATAATTGTTCCTTTTCCGCGATGTTTTTGTTGTTGCTTTTTTCGTACTACAGCCCTTATTGTTACATATTATAACCATCCTGGACAAGAAAAATGTCATCAAGATAGATTTGTTGCATGTTATAGCTAGCTTTTCTGAACATTAAACACGCACCGCCTAAAAAATAACATCAGTGTACTTACATTTTCAACTTTATTCAATGCACTAAACTTGATGTAATATAATGGCCAAAATGATTATTTTCCCTTCTTGTGATCACAAACTGTTCTGCCATATATGTTGAGGAACAGCTAATGATTTAAAGGAAAGAATTTACAATAATCCTCGTAATAATCACTATTATAACCACAAACGAAGTGACAGACGTAGTGGCTCGTAAACTTTGGTGACTAATGCTATAGCAATTTTTTAGTGTATCACATGGCAACACTACTACTGGATTGTACCACATGACAACACTAAATGTACTAGAATGTTTTGGTTCTATATCTTTCACTCTACTCAAAGCTGAAATACATTTAAAAATGACAAAATGATACACTCTTTGCACACTGTCAAAGATCATTGCATACAAAATCAACTTTGTTTAAATCAAAACAAAAATACTAGCCCATCTGGTGGCTGATGGCACAAGCTTTTAAGAATATTCTATTACAGTGAACCACATTATTTTAATTGATTTCTTCGCCAGTTAGTCGCCTGTCGCTTCGTTTGTGATAATAACTCTATTCCTCAAACGTTTCGTTAAGCATGGAAAATGAAATATGGTGGTAATATTGCCTCATGACCTGTATTTAAACAACATATAAATAAAAGAACAGCCTATGATCAAAAGGAGGGAAAACTATCATTCATTGGATATTTTTCCATCTGTATGACATGAGACATGATATGTTTTGAAGAGCATTCATGACTGCAAGGAGTAAAAAAATGCACGTTTCCGTCTAATCGTCTTGGTCTCTTCGGTGCTCTTATTCCTCACGAACACCTCTATTCCCGTTTTCGTACGAATTGGATTCGACATACAAAAAACAATTTGATTGACGAATCCAATTCGTACGAAAACGGAAATAGAGGTGGAAGCTAGCAATAAGTGCATCGAAGACACCAAAGCGGTTTGACGGAAAACTGCACTTTTATCACACTTTTTAGATTATTTAAGCAGTCCAGTTTCAGTTGCAATATATGCTGTAGTCTTTGAAGTTTAACGGTTATTCAATTGAATATGTTAGAACAGATCATGATCAAAAGTAGGAAACATAATCATTTGATATTTTTTCTTCTTTTGGGCTGTTCTTTCATATTTTTTTTAAAATAGGCGTTCTTTCATATTTTTTTAAATAGATCTTGATAAAAGGTTTAAAGTAGTAATATTTTAAAATGTTGGTTCTTTCAATAAAATACAAAAGAACTGCTCATAATAAAAAGAAAGGAAAATAATCATTTATTTGATGTTTACGCCGAGACGAAAGTGGCTTCATTGGCTTCGTACCACTCCAGGAAAACATTTGAATAGTGGCACAAAGCTAGATCCGGCCAGAAGATCGTAGGGTCCTCGTGTTGCTTCAACAGAGGAAGCAGAAGCTTATGTTGACACTCCTTGAGGTAGATCTCCCCGTTTACAGTCTCGGTAGTCACGAACGGTGTACTCCGTTTGCCAGATTGCTTACAAAATCATGTATTTATCGGCAAACTTTGAAAGTTTCTGCTTCCTTACTTCCTCCGGAATATCAAACTTGTGCTGGGCGGTGAAGAACAGTAGCCCCGGAAGCTGCCGGAAGTCCGCCTTAACGTAAGTCTCATCATCCATGATGAGACAATCCCCCCTATTCTGCGAGTCACGTGACTCTCTCTCACCGGTGAGGTGACAATAGTCACCTCGTGTGAGGTGACTCTCCATTTGATTTGCACGGAGAGTCACCTCACACGAGGTGACAATTGTCACCTCACCGGTGACAGAGAGTCACGTGACTCGCAGAATTAGGGGAATGAGGCTTAGTCAGCATCTGGGTGTACAGTTTCCGGGCCCGTGACTTTCCCACCGTATTTTGCCGTTCGTCACGATTTGGGGCTTTCTGCACTTTGTACGTATTCAGTCCCTCCTGGTCCTTGGCTCTCTGAACGAAAGACTTGGACAGATTCAACATTTTGGCCACATCCCTGACCAAAGCATTGGGATTCCGCTTAAACGCTTTCACGACACGCTTGTGATCTTGATCACTAATAGAACATCCATTCTGACCGCATTTCTCGTTCCGTTCCATGCTCAGAGTTTCGTAGTAACGTTTAATCACACGACTCACCGTTGACTGCACGACTCTGAGTTGTTTTCCGATGTCCCGATGAGACAGTGAAGGATTTTCCAGGTTCTTGCGCAAAATCAATTCGTTGTGTTGCTTTTCGGGCCATTTATTTCAACTTTCGAAAAACTGACAACGATAAAAATACACACACTTAGAAATTATCGCCGACTTTGGTAATTTTTACCGAAATCTGAACAGCTGAACCACAAACGAAGTGACAGACGGAGCGGCTCGAAAACTTTGGTGACTAACCTGCTATTTCAATTTTTCAGTGTACCACATGGCAACACCACTACTACTAGATGGTACCATAGAGGTAACTCTAAGACCAGAAGGTCCCGAAGAAACGAGCTCAACTTTTTGGCTCAGCTCTGGTACTATCTTCGGTCCCAAGCTAATTGATTCACCCCTCGAAATATAGGAAAATCCAATAACCCCTCATTTTATCTGTCAAACTTTCATAGCGAATCAAAACAAACATAGTGTAGTACTGGAATACGTTAGTCGATTTGCTTGGGACCAATAGGCTAGTCAAGTAGTGAGCCAATTTAAAATCGTTAGTTTCGTATTGATTGTTGATTGTACCACATGGCAACACTACTACTGGATTGTACTAGCATTTTCACCAAATGTATTAGAATGTTTTGGTTCTATCTCTTTCACTCTACTCAAAACTGAAATGCATAAAAAAAATGACAAAATGATACACTCTTTGCACCACAAACGAAGTGACAGACGGAGCGGCTCGAAAACTTTGGTGACTAACCTGCTATTTCAATTTTTCAGTGTACCACATGGCAACACCACTACTACTGGATTGAACCACATGGCAACACTACTACTGGATTGAACTAGCATTTTCACCAAATGTACTAGAATGTTTTGGTTCTATCTCTTTCACTCTACTCAAAACTGAAATGCATAAAAAAATGACAAAATGATACGCACTCTTTGCACACTGTCAAAGAATCATTGTACACAAAATCAACTTTGGCAAAACCAAAACAAAAATACTATCCCATCTGGTGGATGATGGCACAAGCTTCTAAGAAAATTCTATTACAGCGAACCACATTATTTTAATTGATTTCTTCTCCAGTTAGTCGTCTGTCACTTCGTTTGTGCTTTGCACACTGTCAAAGAATCATTGTACACAAAATCAACTTTGTTCAAATCAAAACAAAAAAACTAACCCATCTGGTGGATGATGGCACAATCTTCCAAGAAAATTCTATTACAGTGAACCACATTATTTTAATAAATTTCTTCGCCAGTCTGTCACTTCGTTTGTGGCTGAACTGTTCGGTAAAATTTATACAATTCAATTCAATTGCTTTTCAGCTACTTTGAAACTAAATCTCCACTAAAATGACAAGATTTGATCATTTAAACAAGGTTGAACATATTTTAAAATTATTTTCAAATTCAATAGCCTTTAAAATGAAGGTCAAAGTTTTACCGAACATTCCGCTGTTCTGATTTCGGTAAAATTTACCGAACACGGAACCAAAATCTTAGTGTGCAGTGTAAACTATACACTCTAAACTACTTCTACTCAAATGGTCAAGAGAAAAGACCCAAAGGGTACATCTAGTTTTCACTGGAAATCCTATGCATGAGTGCTCATTGCAAGACAGCCTACACAGCAAAAAAAAAATGTAATGTCGATCAATGTAATTCAAGCTGATGTATGAAATAATGATGTAATAGCAAAAAGCAGATACAATATTACATCAATGGATGTAATTTTGTTCGCAAAATCGATGTACATCGTACAACGTTATTTTACACAACCAATGGATTGACCTGGTTGCAGCAGTTTGGATGTAATATTCAACAACTTTTTTTTCTGTGTATTTTACATGATATAAACCACAGTATGTACGGGGTATTAGGATAAAATCAAAACATTGAGAAATATAATGCATTACATTCAGAAATACTTCACTTCGCAACCGATGAACCATTCTGACGGCCATATGAGTACCCAAGTAACCATATAGTTGCAATATAGCTTGTATATCCTTGCTTGAGAATGGTTAGTTGAGGAATCCGATGAAACTGTCACTTCTTTAAACTAATCCCTTTTGTATTTCTTTCATTCTCTTTTCGCACTTTGCATACAACACCATCTCATACTAGTCTCTACATCGATCCAATGATGTACGGACCGCTCATTCCGAGTGCTCAGTGGATCAGCGACTACCAGATGATCTTGGCAATGCAAGAAAATTTGTTTTCGTTGATGGAAGTATCATAACACAGGTAATTTTTATTAGATATTTTTACAGACTATGAGAGATAGTGGACAAGAAGATCCAGTGAAAAGACCGGGCAAAGGTGTTATATCCTAAAAAATGGTAACTACCAAGTTTGCTGCTGTCATCGTCGTAGTCGCCGTTGGCAGTACCATTTGTATATTTGAAATTAACCATCAACCGCCGAAACTATAAGAATTATCGCGAATCATATTTTATATTATCATATAAATTTTATATAAGGGAAATGTAGGCATGTCCCTAATTTGGGCCCATACATAAATTCAGCAATCGACTAAATTTTCAATAGCGACCAAAAATATTCATTATTACCGTCCTAATGACGCGTTCATCTAGATAAAATTGATAAATAGCAGACTTTTAGCGACGGGCCCAAATGTAGGGACACGTAGGCCGACATTACCTATTTCCCATTTGATTTGTACGGCAATCACGGCTCTTATTATGAGTATCACTTCCTTATCACCGTGTAGTGACACCCGTAAAAAGGCCCATTATCATAAAAATTCATTGGTTAGAGTGGAGAGTGGAATTGCCATAAAAATTCATTGGGTAGAGGGAAGAGTGGAATTGCAAACTCCCTGTTGTTAACATTTCGTGAATTGAGGGTGGGCTCTTCTCCCACTCATTGGGACATCCCCTCGTATGATGGCTTGCTCTGCATCGAATTGTAAAATTTTTATCATTGGAAGGAGATCTTCTTGCTCCCGTGTAAGTGTCTCTGCTTTCAGGTCCACCCTCCGTTTTTGGCCCTTCATACAGTGGTAAATCGAATACAACCAGGTATCGTACTTGATCAAGTCATACGAGATGGACAGTCCACTGTCTAATGACTGTGCCCTGCAACAATGAGTGGTATCCGTTACATACATACATACTCACGGTCCGGTAGTGTTGGTGAGTTTTGCAGTTAATGTTCATGAAAATTTCACTATTTTGCCATAAACGGCGCAAAAAAAAAAAAAAATGCGGGTGGATTTGGACCTGTTTCATACGACCGGAAGGTGTATGCTGGTCACAAATGCCTAGCCAAATTGATGAGGAGGGTTGTGGCAACTTTGATTATCCGCCTTGGTGCTGGTCCATATATGGCGGGGTATATACAAACTTTGTATGGAGGGGAAGACACACAATTGTACAATTCATGAGACGCAATTAACAACAACATAAATAAAAATAGCACATAATCTCATAATTTTAACTTTTATTTTTTGTATCACCGTTTCTTATAACCTAGCGTACTTTTTTCGCACCTGTGTGTAAACGTAATGGCATACAAACATTCATACAGTCATCTTACTTCTTCCACGAGCGTTCCAACTGCTCCGAGATCGCTTCCAAAAAGTCTTGGGTGTTCAAGTACATGCCTTCCTTGGTGTTCTTAGCTCCATGGATACAGATAGCCAAATCCTTCGTCATGTTTCCGGACTCAATGCAATCGATACAGGCGGTTTCCAATGCCGTGGCGAAACGAGCTAGATCAGGGTTGCTGTCCAATTTGGCACGGTGCTCCAAGCCGCGCGTCCAGGCGAAGATAGACGCAACCGGGTTCGTCGATGTTGGGCGACCCTTCTGGTGTTCTCTGTTCATGGAAAATATAAGGAGGTTTTAAAACTGTGTATTTAGGAATAAACAAACAATAATACCTGTAGTGACGAGTGACGGTTCCGTGGGCGGCTTCTGATTCGATAGTTTTGCCATCGGGGCAGAGCAAAACGGATGTCATCAGACCTAGGGAACCGTATCCCTGAGCGATAATATCGGACTGGACGTCTCCGTCATAGTTCTTGCACGACCATACGAAGGCTCCGTCCGATTTGAGGGCTTGGGCGACCATATCATCGATCAAACGGTGTTCATACCAAATCTTGGCTTCCTCAAATTCCTTCTTGTAGTGCCTGAAAATATTGATTCATATAGGCATGCTGGGAAACAAGTTGGTTATAAAGAAATGTCATACTTTTCATAGATTTCCTCGAAGATATCTTTGAAGCGACCATCGTAACGTTTCAGAATGGTATTCTTCGTCGACAAGTATAGTGGCCATTTTTTGCCGAGGGCAATCTGGAATGATGAGTGAGCAAAAGATTCGATCGACTCATCGGTGTTGTACATTCCCATGGCAACGCCGCCATTGTTGTACTTGTACAGATGATACTCCTGCGATGTTCCATCGTCGGCAGTGTAAACAAGCTTCACCGAACCCGCTTTCGGGATGACAAAGTCCTGGGCTTTGTATTGATCACCGTGCGCATGACGACCAATGATGATAGGTTTCGTCCAACCTGGCACCAGGCGTGGAATGTTGCTGCATATGATTGGTTCACGGAACACTGTACCACCGAGAATGTTACGAATGGTTCCATTCGGGCTAAGCCACATCTTCTTCAGCTTAAATTCCTCAACTCGAGCTTCATCCGGAGTGATGGTTGCGCACTTGATTCCTACATTATGCTTCAGGATAGCATGCGCTGCATCGATCGTCACCTGATCATTGGTCTGATCACGATATGGCAAACCTAGATCGTAGTACAGGCATTCGACCTTAATATAAGGGAATATAAGCTTTTCCTTAATGAATTGCCAGATAATTCTTGTCATCTCATCACCGTCCATGTCGACAACGGGTTTGGCTACTTGGATGCGTGCATCGGTGCCTATTAATCATAAATAAACAAGTCAAATATTGTCTCTGCTACGTCATCGTAGTACTATTTCTAATCTCTAAAGGCATAACAGCGTGTTGCGAATTTATAATATATTTGTTATCATTTGTTTCAAGTTCATTATGACATAGCCAGTCAGTGAGATGTGGAGTAAGTTCAGTCGTTGTTGAACTTTATTCATTCAGGTCAGGTTCGAATCAACTAACGGCCTTATCAGTGATAAGCTAAACACCAGCTACATCTAATCGGGCTAATTCTAAATACCTAATGTATGCTGAACACATACTGAACCAATGGCTAAGTTGGGTTTACTGTCACGATTACACGTGCCATCGTTATATTCAAATGTGGTGGCGACTATTCTGGTGTGCATCATGGCTTTGGATTATCAAATATGAAAGCACACGAAAAGGCAAGGGTGGCAGAATCTGCACATGCTAATCATGCTAATGCTTCTTACAAAGAAGAGTTATCAATCAATCGACTCAGCTCGACGAGATCAGAAAATGTCTGTATGTGTGTGGCAAAATATGCAAGGTCGGATTCACGGCAACAACGGCCAAATGAAAGATACCATGGTTCCGTAGAATGCAATAGGAATCAGTCAACTGGTTTCGGAGATATTATCTGTAAGAAGGGTGGGTTTAATCTGGATTTGCGGAAGAGCTTTTAAATTGGTATGAGAAAATGTAAGGGAAATGGAGCTAACTAATCAGTTGCTTATCATAAATTCAAATATTGCTTAATTTGACCAAACCTGAGTCTTTGATTAAAAAACTATGGAGAACTACTTTGTCGAAGACCGCAAATCGATTAGACTTCTGTGCAAAAAGCTATAATGTTTTTACTTTAGCTTTAGTACTTACCTTTGCGCGGAGCACTTGGCCTAAAGTAAAATTTTAGTAAATTTTGTCAGAAGTCAGCGACTTCGACAAAGTTTTTCTGTATAGTTTTCCTAATCTAAATTCCAGGTTTGGTAGAAAATGATCAATGTGTCAATTTTTGACACACAAATGAATAGTTTCGTTCCGTTTCCCATACTCTTTCCCATACAAACTTTGAAATTATCCTGCAAATCCAGATCATAACCAAATTACTAGGTATAGTTGTTGGGGACCTCAATATAGATCGAAAAAACAGTTGGGAGCAGGGCAGAGTTGCCACATATACAGATTTTCTGGATCGTTGTTCCAAGAATAAACTATTTTTTAGCTAAAAACGGTATCAATGTATTTCAATAATCAATAAAAATCAATATCAATATATTAATCGTGTACATAAATTTGGCAATGTGGCATCGCTGCCCACGGTCACAAAATCGTCCATTGACCATTGGCAACCGGTATCGTGCCTTGAAGAAGCTGATGAAAGTCCTGCAGGTGCTGAGGATGGAGAAGGAGTTATCGACTACAAGAAGTCGGTAAAACTCACACCTGCGCCATCGTCCGAAACATCCTCCAGAGTAGTGTTTTGTGTAAAAATGTTTAAAGGAAGAATAGGGTTACCATCTCATTTCGGACCTACTACGCACTATACGCACTTTGCCTCTTTTTTTTCGAACGGGTTTGATCTTAAAAGTGAAATATTTCTAATAAAGATAACATCTAAACGTATTTACCTTGCACCGTTTAATTGTATAAAGAGTTAAAAATTGTTTCTATTGTGTTGAAAAAACACTGATTCTTAATTCTAAATTCGGCCAATTTCGTACAAACGCATTGAATTTAATTTGTCAAACGGATGATGGCAAAAATGGATTTTGGAAAAAAGGATTGGCTTGGACTGCCCCTGCGCTTCGGTCAGAGAGCGTATAGGGCGTCGTTCTGCCAATTTGGTCGTGGCACATTTCGAGTATAAGAGAGTAATTGCACTTAGATCAAAAGTGCCTGAGAAAAATGCAAATATTTTCGCAGATTACCCGAAGTTGCGATAGTGAAGGTATGATCACAGACAAGCAGACATAACATTCTTAAAACCTTCATCGAAATCGTTTTGAACGGTCAATTTAAATGTTTCTTAGTTGGTAGTACCGCCACCTGTGGTGCACATAATCAATTCCCTAGCGTTTACACATTACAACCATCTGTTGAGTGTATTGCCCATCAAAGTATATACGACATGTGTCTGCTTGTCTGTGATATATGAACCGATGAACCATTCTGACGGCCATATGAGTAACCATAAAGTCGCTATATAGCTTGTATATTCTTACTTTGCTTGACTATGGTTAGTTGGGGAATCTGATGAAACTGTCACTTCTTGAAACTGATCCCTTTTGTATTTCTTTCATTCTCTTTTCGCACACGGAGCGCTTGGTGGAACAGCGACTTTGGACGTGAGCCTCGTCCCAGATCACCATGGCAATTCAATTCAATGAAGCCGACCAAAAAAGGCGGAATCATTTTAGAACCAACCAAGGACGATCTACGGAAGGAAATTGCCGGTGAAGCACGGAATGAAATACGAAGCGTTAGAGAAAAAGTCCAAGGGAATCCAAAAGAAGTAATCAACACGGCGGAAGAGCAGAATATGGTGAGAGCTTTCCAATTATTAAAAAAATATATATCAAAAATAAACTAAATACACGCCAGGTTTGAAAAAAATATATGTTCAAACCTGGAAGCGTGTATGTAATACCAATATCCATTTGATAACGGTGATGCATACATGCGGGGCTTATTGTAAGTGAAAGTAACCTCGGAATGGGCGTGACTCTCCAGACATTCTGAAATGGGTTGCTGGATCTGCAATAGAGCTATCACCTTCTAACTCCCGGACTAAAGCTGTCTACAATGACCATAAATGTGACATTGTAGAGAGAGTTCTTCCATAATAACACTGCCGGCCAGTGGGGGTTAGATTGAATACACACACATACACACACAAGGATTGGCTTGGACTGCTTCTTCTGTTAAAAAAAAATTGGTTGTAAATATTTGTCTATAAGAACGCAATAATATACCTTGTTTTGTAGGTTTTGAACTGAAGTATCGTACCGTACGTATGATTTATTCATTTACGGGAAATCATAGATGTAGAAATGGCTCTAATGTTGGCCTATGGATCTAAGATTGGGCCCATCGCTAAAAATCTGCAATTTACCAATTTTATCTAGTTAACGCGTCATTGGGACGGTACTAATAGATATTTTTGGTCTCTTTTGAAAACTTAGACGATTGCTGAATTTATGTATGGGTCCAAATTAGAGGTATTTAGGCCGACATTACATCCATTTCCCTTATTTGATGTTTTCTGTTCGATGTGCCAAAAATAGGCGCTTATGCTATGTTCAGATTGCAAGGTTATAGCAACCGGTGGAATCTAACGATTTTAAATTGGCTCACTACTTGACTACGCTATTGGTCCCAAGCAAATGGATTAACGTACCTCATTCTAGTCGAAATTCTAGTACTACACTATGTTTGTTTTGATTTGCTATGAAAGTTACACAGATGAAATGAGGGGTTCGTGGATTTTCCTATGTTTCGAGGGGTGCATCGATTAGCGTGGGACCGAAGAGAGTACCAGAGCTGAGACAAAAAGTTGAGCACGTTTCTTCGGGACCTTCTAGTCTTAGAGTTACCTCTATGGTGTTAGTCTATGGTAGTACCAACCGGTGGAAAATAACGATTTTAAATTGGCTCACTACTTGACAAGCCTATTGGTCCCAAGCAAATCGATTAACGTACCCCATTCTAGTCGAAACTCTAGTACTAAACTATGTTTGTTTTGATTCGCTATGAAATTTGACAGATAAAATGAGGGGTTCGTTGATTTTCCTACGTTTCGAGGGGTGCATTGATAGGCTTGGGACCGAAGATAGTACCAGAGGTGAGCCAACAAGTTGAGGACGTTTCTTCGGGACCTTCTGGTCTTAGCAGTGGCGTAGCGTAACCTCACTTTTTACCTGTGCACCAACTTTTAAAAACAGATTTAATGCCATATTCATACTCAAATCGGTTGAAAAATACACTTAATCTTCTAGTTAACTAGATATCTATCCATTGCTAGCAATATTTTGAGAATTGTTTATGTTTTGAGAGTTGGTGCACAGGTAGATTGAGGTTAAGGCGACGCCACTGGGTCTTAGAGTTACCTCTATGGTAGAACCGAGTGTGGAACGATTCTCGCTTCATTGTTGCAAAGATTGCAATCCAACGGTATGTATGGAAAGGTGATTAAATTTAGAAGTCATCTTTGAGAGAAATTTTCCATTTTTTGTTAAAACCCGTTCCAAAAAAGGAGGTAAAGCACGGGTTGTGCTTAGTAGGACGGAAATGAGATCAAAAACTCTAAGACAGGTAACACAGTAGGGCCGCATGACCAGTTTTGTCTTTGCTTTGATTCGCCAATTGCTTTTGATTCGTCACGGAAATGAGGACGCTTGATCTTATAGAAGGTGGCACCGAGGGCACTAGCGTATTTTGAATTCACTTGGGCTGATTTAAATCATACTTATTGATACATTTCAGTGTATAGTGAAGGCACCATAGTTGACGCGGTTCCTAACTTGACGCACTAGATCATTTTCGACTATTTTCCATTAATATTTTTGAATTGTTACGTTCCAAATATTAATTCCAGAGCTCTAGGGATGATAACTAGGATTAGGAACCATTAGGAACCACGTCAAATATGATGCTGGCACGGTATTGATGTATTTTTATTTTAAACGTGATGCATTCTTCACAAATTGAATAAATAGAGATTCAATAATTTCTTTTTTCTTTGAGTTCTGCTTTGGGATTTTAGTAAAAAAAAACAAAGTTTCAGCTTCAGAGCAGAAGTGGCAAATTGGAATTCCTCTGCACTCATTTCCAACATCGTCCTAAGTAGTCTATGCCGTTCGATTGGCGAGGAAAGAATAATTAATACCCCGTACAGACTATGGCTTATATTGTATTAATATAGGCTGTCTTGCAATGATCACTCATACATCTAGTTTTCACTGGAAATCCTATGTATGAGTGCTCATTGCAAGACAGTCTATA